TGGTACTTTTCTGTGGCCCGGTTTGTGTCTGTTTCCCTCGTGCTCCCTCATTAGTTTCCATTGTTACCACCCGTGTCTCGTCCCAGCTGTCTGCAATTATGACTCGTCTTGTCTATGCACATAAGCTGCCTGTTCTGTCTTGTTCTTCGTCGGGTCGTCTTCGTTGGGTACTCTTTGTTGGGTCTCTGAGTCTTTCCCTGAGTCTTCCTGGTTCCCCGTGTCTCTCGTGCCTCCTGAGTTTCCCGTGCCTCCTTCCTACGTTCATGTAAGTTTTGCTGCCCCGTCAGCTTGTTATTTTGTACTTTAATTTCTCATTAAAATCCTATTTTTGTATTTCTGCCGAGTTGAGTCCCTGTTCTGCACTCTGGGTTCGCTCCTGACACAAATCCTAACAGAAACTGTCCAGATGACCTGACTGAAAAATGTTGCACAGGTTGTAATGTAAGGTGTTTTGAGTATCTTGATTAGATAGAAATGTGCTATATAAGTACAGTCCATTTACCATTTAATTTGGCAGACCAGAATAGATATAATATTTTTGATTATTTTATCATTTAAAAGTACATGATGGGTGTACATGAAACTCAGCCTCTGGTGAAAACCCCCAATTTGACCTTGGAAAAATGTTTAAGTAAAGTTCAATCATTTGGTAGAAAACAAACATGTTAAACAAGCAGGCTGCAACATGGCTGAGCATTTTCATTTGAATCGAGAACTCAAACATCCAGACAGTTGTCATGTAAATCTCCAACTCGGAAAGCAAAGGATTTGTAAGGAATCCTAGATCCAGACCAACACTTCTAAGCAGGGGCGGGCTGGCCATAGGGAGGTTCGGGAGGACTCCCGGACAGCTGGTCAGTTCCAGGCCGAATTGGCCAGGGGTAATTGGTGCGTTGTTTTTGTTTGTTTGTTGTTTTTAAAGCTGTTACAACCCTGCGCAGCAGCCCTTGCGACCGCAAGCGGCAGTCAAACGTCACATACGATACAAACAGCACCTCCTAATTTGAAAAAAGAAAAAAGGAAGGAGACCGGGTAGCAAACACGATAAAACGAAAGGAGAAAGAGATGGGTGGAGCAGAAAAACTAAGGTAAACAAAAGGAAAACGTTAGTGCAAGATTCAGCCAAATGCGCTAAAATAGCAGACATTTTTGGAGGGGGTGCGGGTGCAAAGTAAGTGTGACTAAAGTCAGCCAGGACAGTGATAACACAGGACTGAGCAGCATGGACACAGCAGGTTAGCAATCAGGGCCTGCATGGACCTGTCATCCATCCCAGAGTTGGCTCTATGTTTACATGGACATATGTAAATGGATTAAACGGCCATTCGGAATAAAAATGCATCATGTAAATGCCCCATTCGGATTATTCTGAGCTGATTCAGCTCGATCCGAATGAATTTGTAATCAGAATGAGGGGTGGTTTATGCCGATTCATAATCCAAACGGTGTGCATGTAAACACTTAATCTGGATATTGTGGCGGCTGTGGCTGAGTGGTTAGAGCAGTCGTCCTCCATTGCAAGAGCTGGAGGTTTGACTCCACCAGCAGTCACATGCCGAAGTGTCCTTGGGCAAGACACTAAACCCCTCATTGCCTTCAATGTGTGTCCCATCAGTGCATGAAAGTGATAAAGCTCTGATTATTCTTTGTATAGATCTAGTAGAGTGCTGTATGAATGGGTAAATGAGGGCACAGAATGTGTTGTAAAGAGCTTTGAGTGTCTTGATCAGATAGAAAGGCACTATATAAGTACAGTCCATTTACCATTGTGGAAAACTGACCTGACTGCATGTGTGACCTACAGTATGTCAACCTCACATATTTCCGCTTGGCTAGATGCTAATATGTCAGTGAGCGATACAACACTTCTACTAGAAACTTTGAAAGAGATGTGTTTGAAACATGTGTTGCTTTGTCTGTAGCTCAATCAGGGAGTGCAGTAATGTCTCCACCATCATTAAATCCTGGCACCAGTCCATTTTGGGCGCTCAGGTTTGTTTACATTCATCACGGAAGGAAGTAGAACGTCTTTTTCTGTGTTTTTTTTTTTTTAGCAAAGTTTACCTCTCTGTGAATGTCACTATTCTGAATAAAAGCCTGCTGCATGTCATGACTGGATTATGCCCATGTAAACGATACATTTGGATTATTTAATCCAAATACTTTTCAATACGGTCAAAGAATTTTACACATGTAAACATAGCTATAGTGTGTTTGGATTTCCGGATGTGTTCAGGGCACACAGAACAACATTAAAGTAAACAAATAGAAAACATTAAGGAAGCCTATCAGTATAGTTACACCGTAAGTACATAAATCTTTAATCTGCTTTATCAAAAAAATTAAAATAATCCATACTGACTGACCAGAAAAAGGCACGTTTCTTTATTGCAAAAGAAAATATATTTCAGGAAAGAGTCTGATTTCCTATTTCTGTTTCTACATTAATATAGAGCTTTTTTTTACTAGCTCAAGAAACATACATTGCAGTGAGTAATTAATTTGCTGTGTGTGTGTGTGTGGGGGTGGGGGGGGGTTGGGGAGGGGGGTCTGTAGCGTTTTGCTTATGTTGTATTTGTGTTATAATAAAATTGTGTTATAATGTGTTATGATCTTGGACTTCAGAAGGAAGTCCACAATCTGTCCACGAAGGAAGTTTTTTTTTTTTTGCATTGAACACTTTTTGAATACTTCAGAAGGAACAAACACATCTTCACCCCCCTGAACATAAGAGGATCCGCGGTGGAAGTGGTCTCCAGCTACAACTACTTGGGTGTACACATGAACGACAACCTCAGCTGGAGCAGCAACACCACCAGACTGATCAAGAAAGCTCATCAGAGACCCTACTTCCTCAGGCGGCTGAGAAGAGCTGGTCTGGGAAGCTCATTCCTCACCTCCTTCTACAGGTGTGCAGTGGAGAGCATTCTGTGCTCCAGCATCAATGTGTGGCATGGAGGCTGCACAGCTGCAGAACGAAAAGCCTTGCAGAGAGTGGTGAAGGCTGCACAGAAGATGTTGGAGTCAGTCTCCCCACCACCACAGACATCTACACCTCCAGATGCAGGAAGAGGGCCACCTGCATCATGAAGGACCCCACTCACCCAGCACACACACTTTTTGCCCCACTCCCCTCAGGAAGGAGGTTGAGGAGCATTAAGTGTAGAACCTCTAGACTGAGAAACAGCTGAGACTGTTAGACTCATGAATCTCTAACCAGAATAATCAATGTGAAAAATTACATCATGTTGCTGCTGATCTGTTTCAATGTTGATGCTGATCTGTTTCAATGTTGATGCTGATCTGTTTCAATGTTGATGCTGATCTGTTTCATGTTGCTGCTGATCTGTTTCAATGTTGATGCTGATCTGTTTCATGTTGCTGTTGATCTGTTTCATGTTGCTGTTGATCTGTTTCAATGTTGCTGCTGATTTGTTTCATGTTGCTGATGACCTGTTTCAATGTTGATGTGTTCATGCGTGCTCATCTGCTTACTCATGTTCATGTTTGTGCTGATGTTTGACGTAATGTTTTTATGCTATTAGTGCTTAGTGTATATTTAGTTGATGTTTTTCTTAGTTCATATCTTAGATGTTATCATTGTTTTTCTTTTACATTGTATTGTTGGATGTAACTGGGACCCTGTGTACATAATTTCGCTCCATCACATGTACCACATGAGGTGCGAATGACAATAAAGAATCTCTGACTCTGACTCTCTGATAAAACTGTAAATTATTCGCAAAAGTGCTCTAAAATGTGTAATTGTTGCCGTTATTCTTATTACCAGCTAAAAAGGCCAGTATAACTTGAAGAGTTGATGCAGAAGGAGAGGATAATCCCAGTCATAGGAGTCAGGAGAAGGAGGTGGAGATGGAAGAGGAGGAGAAAAAGAGGCCCTGATGACTTTAGACAATGATGCAGTTATAGACAGAGGTGCAGAGACCTGTGTTCTGCTCAAATGCTTGTTAATGATGTAAGTTCTGACAGTTTCCTTTTGTTTGGGAGAGAGTTATGATATTATAGGTCTGTATACCTCTGGAGGTTGTTTTTCATTCCTTAATATTTGTTTTGATTTTTATGATAAGCTGCTTGTTTAATAAACTTTTAAGCTGCTTGTGTAATAAACTTTTATAAACTGATAAGTGTTTTTTATTTGTATCATTGAATACATACAAACATAAATAGTAGTTTTGATTGCAGAAAAAACATATTGTTTCTATGCTGCAAATAAAGTACTCATGTTAAAATTATGGTTCCACATGCATCCGTCGTGCGATTGGATAAAAGGCCTCTTCAAAAAAAGCTTCTGGGCTGAATTTCAACCCCAGCCCGCCCTGATTCTAAGTAAAACAAACAGAAATGTTGTATCATGCTCAGTTGGTTTTAACACTGGGACTTCAAATTCTCTTGTTTACTTGCTTAGAATTTTGTTTTGTTTTGTTAGAATTTACTTATCTCCCTGTTTTGTTTTGAAAAAGTGCAGTGCTGTGCAAAATTCTTGAGCAATCATATGTTGTTTCTTGTAAACTTGAATTAAAGTGTTCTGAACCATTTGTTCGAAAGTAAAACAAAACAACAACAAAAAAATATATATATATATATATATATATTTTAACCTTATTTTCACAAAGGACTTGTATTTTGAACATTTTCTGAAGAACAGTGTTTGTTCAACCACTTACCTTTTATAATTTAAGCTTAAAATGACACCTAAACAAAGACACTGCAGCTCTGCAAAGAGCAAAACCCATTATTATCTATCAAAACTTTACCAGCAACTGATCGCAAAGACCATTTCCTATTTGCTCAGTTACAGTAATGAGAAATATCTCATTAACACCGTCCCACAAGCACAGAGCTCCTTGTGCACTTCTTTAATGAAAATTAGTACAAACTTTGGACTGAGACAACATGCGTTAATAGCTGATGTGTGTTTTTGGTTTTCTTACAGTTGTACATCAAGTAGAACTCGTTTCTCCTCGCCAACATGTATTCTCCAGTTGCAGTCCTCTCCTTCTCCATACCACTCAGGCCAGTTTGGAGATAGAATCACTCCTCCTGGACCGGTCAGGTCACCCCCACATTGAGCTAAATGTAGAGGAGGAGATCAGAGTAAAGATTGTTTAAACGTTATATGTATTTTAGGGGAGGCAAGGTTTCAGAAAAACAAAAACAAAACAGTTGTTGTTTGGGGAGTAAAAAAAAAGTAAATGAACATTTAAATGTTAATAGACAAATAAATATTAATAAACTATATCCTGATGCATGCTCAATAATCCAGGTAGAAAAATCTAAAAAAGTTAAATCTGGTCCTCTGGACATTCAAAAAAACAAAACAAAGCAAATCAACAAAAAAAATGTAGAAACGTTTCGTCTCTCATCCGAGAGACTTCCTCAGTCTGAGGTGCTGTTTTCAGCTCAGTCTCTTAAATAGCACCTTCTCAGAGTGGATCAACCAGTTTTGCTGCTGACAACCAAAACCAGCTGATCACATGCTCAAGAAGGACCATCAGCCTAACAATGGGTCATTATCACACTGATGGCTGTTTACTACTCACAGAGGGCTGAGTGATACTAGCAATCACAGCATTGTAAGAGGGGGACAGTTGAACCCGGAGGCCTCCACCCCTGTTTAACGATGGACGGTTTCTTTTCACAAAGATGGCCTCCTTTACTCCTCTCTCAAACCATCGTTCCTCTCTATCCAGGATGTGCACATCTTCATCCCTGAAAGAGTGACAGCTGGCCTGGAGATGAGTGTAGACCGCAGAGTCCTGGCCTGATGATGTTGATCTTCTGTGCTGGGCCATCCTTTTGGCCAGTGGCTGTTTAGTTTCCCCGATGTAAGACTGATCACAGCCCTCCTGACACTAAACAGCATACACAACATTACTCTGTTTGTGCCGGGGGACTGGATCTTTGGGATGAACCAGTCTTTGCCGTAATGTATTTTGGGGTTTAAAAGGCCAAAGGATGGCCCAGCACAGAAGATCAACATCATCAGGCCAGGATTCTGCGGTCTACACTCATCTCCAGGCCAGTGGTCACTCTTTCAAGGATGAAGATGTTCACATCCTGGACAGAGAGGAACGATGGTTTGAGAGAGGAGTAAAGGAGGCCATCTTTGTGAAAAGAAAACATCCATCATTAAACAGGGGTGGAGGCCTCCGGGTTCAACTGTCCCCCT